GAAACCAGGTTCGGTGTTGCGCAACATGATTTTTCTCCTTGAATCCTCACGTCTAACTTCAGAAAAAACTTCCCGAATAGAGGGCAATGGCTTTCTGCCGAGAATGCGGCCTCGAACCTCATCCAAACTCCGATTAAGGCCGGCTAAAAACATGTTAACCCTGTCGTTTTCCTCTCTCTTCTTGTGGCGAGCGTAGTCGTTCGAATTCTCCCAAACATCATCATAACATTGATCAAGTTCCTACCATAAAGTTACCAATTCGCTATAATAAGTACTAACATCGCCATCATTCTGCTTGGATTTCATAGTCGAGTTTTCAACTCAAATATTTGAGATGTGTAATGAAACTCGGTTGTACCAAGGATTCTATGGTTAATTCTTCCTATTGATTCTCTATGTTGGTTGCATGTTGTCTTATGTGTGATTAATTGAGAATTGATCTCCACACTAGATACTTTTTGTAATTGTATTTAGTGATGACTATGCATGGTTTTTATTTGATACATTTGTCAATTAATTTGATGGATTATGCTTAGACTTGATGGGTTGTACTACACATTAGTTTACTTGTTGTTAGGTAGACAATTCATGCTTGATTTTGATGGTCCATGGCTTATTATTGCAAATTGTATTATTCTCTTGGTTAATTTATGCTACAATTGTTAATTAGTTTGATGGATTTTGCTTAGGCTTGATGGATTGTATTACACCTTAGAGTAATTGTATTTACGTACACAATTCATTCTTGAATTTGAAGGTCCATGCTTATTATTGCAATTTGTAGTCGCATTTAGATTACAGCAATGTTTTCCCAATAATTGAAGGCAAATGGTTTAGTGCATGAGCTTAGTGGTGATTCCTATGCCCTAAGACCTCTCTTCCTATCATTCAAATTCAATTCATTTTAGTTTAATTTCCATTTTATGTTTTATTTAATTGGACATTAGATTAATCACCAAACCAAACCTCCTTTCAATCTTGTGAACCACTAAAGTCAAGTTAGATTCCAACTACATGTTTAATCCCTGAGGACGATCCCTTATCACTATACTTCATTGTATAAGTGTTAAGTGGCTTTTATAAATTGTACAAGTTGATGCCCATTGAGCACATTTCTTAATTCTAAAAGTTCAGTGCATTTTTGTGCACACACCTAAGGTTGCATCACTAACTCCATATTTAAACCCACCAAGAAATCAAAAACTCTCTCTCTTTCAAAAAACTCCTGATGTATTGCAGCATCTGTGCTACACTTCCTTCTAAGATTTTGGTATTGATCTAACTCGAGCCATAAGCCTTTTATAACATTATAGTACTCGGTAACAGAAAAATTACCTTGCTTGGTGTAATGGATCTTTGTCTTGAGATCGAAAATTTGGGCTCCATCTCTCACTTTGGAGTAGGTTTGACAAACAGATTCCCAAATTTCCTTTGCTGTTGGGAGAAAATACAAGTGCGGCTGATTTCCAGCTGCAACGAGTTCCATAACCATGACAAGATCTGAGAGTCTTCTTCATCCCAAGCAGCAAAATTAGGATCATTCTTACTCACCATCGATCCAATGAGATAACTCAATTTCCCTTTTCCCTTTATATAGGTTTTTATCAATTGTGACCACTCTAAATAGTTCCCTCCATTGAGTTTGAAGATGGCATATATATTCTGGAATTCACTAGGAGCAGACTGTTGGTTTGCGGGCTGATTGTAACAGAGGAGTTAACTTTGATGTACCCGACATGAAGGCCGAATTAAGGAAATCATTCTTGACAATGAACGTCAAGATTGATTTTAAATGAATCTGGAAAATATACCCTGGGCAATGAAGGCACAGAAGAAAGAAATGGACTGATTCGTAACAGAGGAGTTAACTTCTGATGTACCTGACATGATAAAGAAGTAGAGAAGACTTGAATCTAAAGAAATGAACAAAAATCACCCTAATCAACACGATGGAAGAATGAAAGGCAATAAAGGCCAAAATAAGGAAATCTGTCTTGACAATGAAGGTCAAGATTGATTTTAAATGAATCTGGAAAATATACACTGGGCAATGAAGGCACAGAAGAAAGAAACAACACGATTAGAGTAGTAAATTTTCTAGCTCTAATACCATGTTTTCATTCAAACCTCAAATTGAGAGAATACTTTCTTACTTCTACATAGAATGACAACATATATATACAGAATTTTACAATCTCCTAATTATGACAGGAAGAAAGACAGCTAAACTAATATGGAAAAAAGTAAACTAAATCTTAGATAGTCAATATTTATAGTTGGACATTTGTGTCAGCCAATACAGGCTGTATATCTTTTCAAAGTTGGCAGATCTGTGCCAGACTATATAGGCTGGAAGTCTTCTGGCAGATTTTCCAACACAAAGTCATACTGGCACATTGCGGTTCTTACAAATACTTTTCTCATTAAGCGTACCCCAACTAGAGTATTAAATGGTAAGGGCCCCTTACAAGTGCTTCAGCTTGATATTAATCTTTTTTCCATCATGCCTCAGGTGTTTGGATGTACATGTTTTGTTCAGAATCGTAGCCCTTCTCGTACTAAACTTGATGACAAGGCCATTAAATGTATCTTTTTAGGATACTCTTCAATGTCAAAAGGTTACCGGTGTTATGATCCTGTACACAAACACATGTATCACTCTCTTGATGTCACCTTTCATGAGCATACCCCTTTTATGGTTCTAACACTATCTTGCAGGAATCTTCTACTCCCGATCAAGAGGCTTCTTCTCTAGCTCGTCCTCTTACTATTTTTCAAGAAGAGTCTTCTCTAGTGATTTCCTCACCCCCTTTGCAAGTCTATTCTCGCCGCCCTCGTACTCCACCCCCATTGCCTTAATCCTACTCAGATACAGGTTTAGGTACATCTCCTCTCTCTCCTTTACATTTCCCTAACCCTGCTCCTGAGTCTTGGTATCCCACTCGGGACAGCAAACCCCCTGCTCTATTTGGATTCGCTTGTAGTACTAGTCATTTTATTTCGCAGTATATCTCTTATAATGGTCTTTCAGGGTCTTACCGAGCCTTTATAGGTAAACTTGATTCCATTTCCATTCCCATAAATGTCTCTGAGGCTCTCCGAAATCCCAATCGGATGTCTGGTATGATGGTAGAAATGGATGCTTTGCAGCAAAATAAAACACGGGAACTTGTATCTCTCCCTCCTGGTGAAAAAACTATTGGATGTTGGATGCAAATGGGTATTCAGTGTTAAATATCTGCCCGATGGCTCTATTGATCTGCATAAAACCCGTTTGGTGGCCAAAGGGTTTACTCAGATTCCTGGTAAAGACTGTAATGTTACCTTCGCTCCAATGGCAAAATGCCTGTCTCCCTGGCTACTCATAATTGGCCTCTTCATCAGCTTGATGTGAAGAATGCTTTCCTTTACGGTGGTCTTCTTGAGACTATTTATATGGATCCTCCACCCAGTTTTCGGGCTGAGGGGGAGTATGCGGGAAAGGTATGTCGATTGCAAGAGTCTTTGTATGGGTTAAAACAATCTCCCAGAGCTTGGTTCAGCCGCTTCAGTGATGTATTCTATCCATGGAGTTTGTTAGATGTCATTCTAGCCATACAAGTTTTATCCACCGTTCCTCCACCGGTCGATGCATCATTATTCTTGTCTATGTTGATGATAACATCATTACTAGCAATGAGATCCCTGGGATTGCTCAAGTAAAGCTTCAATTGGCTAAAGCTTTTGATGTGAAAGACCTTGCGCAGCTCAGATATTTCTTAGGAATTGAGGTTGCTAGATCTAAGCAGGGAATCTCTTTATCGCAAATAAAGTATGTCTTGGATCTTCTTCAAGACACGGGTATGCTTGGGTGTAAACCTGCTTCCACTCCCATGGATCCTAATCTGAAGATCTCGGCTGAGTCTGGAGATCTCCTTTCTAATCCCTCGCAGTATCAGCGTTTGGTAGGAAGATTGATTTATCTTACCGACACCCGTCCTGGTTTGGCTTTCGCGGTTAGTGTTGTGAGTCGGTTTATGCATGCTCCTCGTACAGCTTACATGGATGCAGTATATCATATTCTACGATATCTTATTATATTCTCCTAACAGGCAGGTTAGACTATCTTGTTTCAGTGATGCAGACTATGTTGGGTCCAAAACTGACAAACGTTCCACATCTGGCTTCTGTACTTTCTACGGAGATCATCTTATATCCTGGAAAAGTAAGAAGCAACCTGTAGTTTCGAGATCTTCAGCAGAGGCTGAGGATCGTGCCATGGCCCAGGGTACTTGTGAGATTCTCTGGCTTCGATCTTTCATAGAGGAGCTAAGGCTAAGTGAAAAAACAGTCCTCAGACTTGTTTTGTGAAAATAAGTCAGCCATCATGCTTGCTTCAGATCCTATTCTTCATGAGAGGACTAAACATATAAAGGTGGGCATTAATTTTATCAGAGAGAAGGTTCGTTCGGGAATTATCAAGCCATGCTTTGTTCGGTCCTTTAATTACTCAGCAGATGTGTCCACCAAATCCATTGGTCCATCTTTGCTTCATTTCTCGATTACCAAGTTGGGCTTGATTGATATCTTCACCCCAGCTTAAGAGGAAGTGTTGAAATATTTGTATTATTATTATTTTTATTAGCTGTTTTCAGCCTTTAATTAGAAGTTTCATATAAGATCCCTATTATCAAGGTACCACGTAGATAAGATCCCCGTAATCATGGGATCGCGTAGAGTTTGGCATATTTCCTGTTTTTCTTTACTTTGGTTTCCTTTCTTTGTACCCTATTTTTGTATATAAATATAGCTCTTGGCTCTCGGTTTGAGTAGGCCAAAACCCAAAACTACTTCTTTTCAACCAATATTTTGAGAATGCATTAAGCAACTCCAGACAAACAAAACTTGAACATCAGGATACCAAACAATGACAAATGCCACTAAAAATAAATAAGTAGGAAACGGAAACAAACACAATGGCAAATGAATAACTTCAATAAATAGCACAAATGATGACCTACCAAGAGAAATACATGCTCCAGCAACTATATTGACATATGCCTGAACAAATGCTTCAGCATCCATTTCATCAATATCACTCATCTCATCATCAAGACCTTTGAGACCATTTTGGACAATTATAGGAATCTGGGATTGAATCCAATCTTTGGATGGATGAACCCTAAAAAATACAAGTATATTAAGTCAAACTTAGCAAGCAGTTAACAAACCTAAATTCACTCATTGGATCGTTGTTGCTTTTGATGTTGCTACCTGGTCCACATTATCAAATTGCGAGCAATGATACGAAGCATTACAAAATCCGGCCTCACATATTGCAACTCAAAACGCGTACGCGGAATAGAAAGTCTAGATTGCATCACCTCTGATTCAGTCTGTAATAATATACAGGGGTAAAGAACAACTTTTTGAAGATCAAAAATATATGAGCAACTCTGAATTTCGTGAAGGACACGACCTGGGGCACCTTTTGTGGAAAGATTACATTTAATTATTTTTTTTCCTAGCCGATTATATTTAATATTGATAAAACAGATGCTGCATATAGTTTACCTTCAAAAACATTAGAGCCAGAGCAATTATAGCACCAGGAGCAGTGACATCAACATTGACCGGGGTTCCATCCATCATCTAAAACATCAACACTAGTACCATAAGAGAGAGAGGGAGAGAGAAGAAGAAGAATATCCTGCAACACTAGATGCTGAAGAAAAGCTTTTTTTTTTAAAGTAACTTCCAAAACCAATGAGAAAATTGTGGTATCCAGAAAAATAGGAATGAATCTAACAACCTGCCCAGCACCACGATTGTGTTCATCTGTTAGTGCCAAGAGAAGGGATCTTTCCTGCAGAAGAAAAAAAATAATAACTAAGCATCCAAATAAATATAGAATTTATTTTAGAAGTATCACAACTTCAATACACCTTAGTTTATACACAATAGGCATACTGGGAGGGGAAATACAAAGAAAGAAAGGAAGAAAACATGGACTAAAATTCTCCTACAGCATATACATTGTGAAATTCCTTGCCACCAACATATTGGAACAATCGATCAACCAATGTATCCATGAATCCAACTGCATCTTCCCCTCGACCTTCAATTACATAGAACACAATTAGCAAACTCCAAAATCTTCACGAATATGATTAAATTAACAGGTGATACCCAATGCTACAAGTCCCAACGAAAATCCAGCAGAAACTGCATAACCCTCCCTTTCAAGTACATTATCGCCTCCACTTCTACGACCTATTTCGGCCTGTGAAAGAAATGCAAACATACAAAAATCACAAGGGTGAAACCACCATTGTTTACCACAATTTAATGTGAGAATGTCACGCAAACAATAGCAAGTTGAGCAACGTGCAAAAATTCTCATATGTATCGCACAGCTAATAAAATTGCTGATAGATTAAAAAATATATATATAAAAAAATGGCTGCATTGTTAAAAGTCACAATATTTTGTGTCTGATAGATCACTAGGACTAATGTTGACAAATTTCGTACGTCAGAATTTGAATCTGCACTTTTGCTTATAATTTCCAACAGATTAGAAATTGGTCAAAAGTCAGTAACTGTTAGTTACCTCCCAAGATTGGAGATGGAATTGATTCTACATTCAAGGTTATTTTGGTAATATTTATCAGCAAGGGTAAAAGGCTAATTTTAAACACTGATACACTCACCAATTAAGGTTCATGGACTGCATAATTGGTGTTTCTAAATGTCATAATTTAAACTGGTTTTCATTCCCAAAAATGTCTTATACATGCATTGAAAAAGTTTGGGAAACTTCCATGATAAAATACATTCCAAGTATAAACCTGCAGAAGGGTTCCATTGATCGAGAGATCAATCGAAGGCTAGGAAGCACGGATACGGGCCGGACACTGCCGGATACGTGTTCAATAAAACTGGGAATTATCTGGAATTTTAACATATTTTTTCTTAAAAATCAGATTCGGCTGGGATATGGCAGGATACATTTAGAATACGGCAGGATACTTCTGGAATGCAGCTGGGTAAAATCATAAATAATTATATAAAAAAAATGAGGGTTTAATGGTGACAATAAAGAGAAATTAAAAGCCCAACTTGATACTAATCAACACTCATCAACGCAATGAGAGAGAAATAGAGATAAAAAAGAAGAGAAGAAGAAGGGAGATATAGTGTCTACCAAGGAATGTATTAATTAGGTCAATCAAGTTCTAGGATTAGGATTTTTCTTTTTGTGTTTCATCTAATTGCCTTTTATTTATGAACATATTGGCGATTACATTTTACATTAATAATGTTATGAAAAACTAACAAAAACTAATTTTTTCATATAAAAATATAATACATTATTATTTTATTGTTGTATCTTGTCATACCCATATCCTTTTTTTGGAGATTTGTTGTATCTCTAAATCAGTAAATCTGTGTCGTGACGTATCCATATCAGCATCTGTGCTCTAGATCGAAGGCTTCTAGAGTGATGTCTATTCAATCGATATCTAATTCGATCAATCATGTTGTTCGGACACCAGAGATGGAGGGGCAATCCGAACAACACCACCCTTCGTAAGCTGTCACGATCAACCACGGCTGAACAACCCACCGCGAAATCCCATTTGTCGATGTGTAAGGAAGCTTCACCCCATCTCTTCCTCCCCACATGCAAAACTCTACAAGTTTCGGCCTCCGCTGGTAGACGGAACAAGAACAGGCCGTCAGGTAGGGTTGAGACTTTTACTCCACACGAGATCTGCCAAGATATCGTCGCCCACTCCTCAATCCTCTTAATGCACCCCACATCACGATCAAATCGACCAACTAGACAAGATTTCAGTACAGATTCACGTTCTACAATGCTCTGACGATCAACCCTAAGGACCACATCTCTATCAATTGAACAACTTTGGATCTTCCCGTGAAAATTGAAACATGGTAGGGTTGCAACTTTGAGATATGAACGTAGCATGATCCGTCAAAACCAAAAAAGAAAAGAAAGAGAACGATAGACGCCGGAGTAGAAGACTCCGGCGTCAAAAGAGAAAAGAAAAGTTGAGAGGAAAGTCAACTTTCTTTTGATGTACCTAAAAGCAAAAAAGGAATGATGTTTCTGTCATTGTCATGTTTCTCTGCCTTCTTGCTAGTAAAGGGCATGCCCAAACTAGTTCTTTGGCTTCTCTTAATTATTTTTTTGGCTTCTTTGGGATCTTATTCCCTAGTTCCACTTTTGTATAAGGGATGCGTTCCCCTCTTGAACGCCTTTTTTATTTCAATTATTACTTATCAAAAAAAAAAAAAAAAAAAAAAAAAAATCAAAAATCAAAAGTATAACACTATATGCATTATCAGTTCATAAGCAGTCCACAATATCACATATATCAATTAATGAATAAATAAATATTTAAGAAAATTTAACAACTTCACACATATTGTGTATTTGGATTCAAAGCATTAATGCATGGTACCATAGTTGTTAAAGGCTCAAGGCAAGGCGTGGGCCTAACTGAAGCGAGGAGCAAGTTGAAAAAAAGAGGAGAGAACGGAGAGAGAGAGAGAAAAAAAAAAAAAAAAAAAAAAAAAAACATTAGAAACAGAAATGCAGACCAGATTCGGCAGAATTAAAATTTGGAAATATTGGAGGAATGATATTATTAAGGTAAAATATTATTTAGTTTGACCACAATTAGGCTAGCTGATTTGTTGAAGGAATGGTATTCATTAAGGTAATATATTATTTAGTTCGACCACAATTAAGCTAGCTGAATTGTTGAAGGAATGGTATACATTAAGGTAATATATTATTTAGTTCGACCAAAAATTAGACTTTGTTGAAGGAGTGGTATTCATTAAGGTAGTATATTATTTAGTTCAACCACAATAAGATTTGTTGAAGGAACTGTATTCCTTAGGTAATAAATTATTTAGTTTGACCAAAATTAGATTTGTTGAAGGAATTGTATTCATTAAGGTAATATATCATTTAGTTCAACCACAATTAGGCGAGCAGATTTGTTGAAGGAATTGTATTAACTAAGGCAATAAGTTATTTAGTTCGACCACAATTAGGCTTAGCTTATTTGATGAAGGAATGGTATTCATTAAGGTGGTATTTATTAAGGCGAGCTGACTTGTTGAAGAAATTGCTTCCATTTTGTTCAACCTAAATTAGGTGTGAAAGGCGTGCGCCTTCCACTCGGCGCCCAGGGGGCAGGCCTTCTTAAATACACCTATGCTTGGTACCCAGCAAACAATCGTAACCAAAAAACCAGGTGTTAGAAAATTATTGAACAACCTGCATTTCATTTAATCAAAAAGGTAGATATCCAAAAATATAATTTTAGCTAAAGAGACTAGAAACATCACATTAATGTGCTTATCAATCAAAAAATGGAGTTTCTATTCAACATCAACGACAGAATTATAAATAAACGAAGAATAAATACACGAAGATCACAGAGTAAATAACTTTATTGTGGAGAACTTTCCAACCATTTACAAGTAGAAATTGGTTTCTCTATCATATTTTCAAATCTTTCAATGAAGCCATTCCATCTTGTCCGGAAGCTGAAAAGTGGGAGACACCTATCTATGGGTTCTACTAGTTATATTTGTCCCCCAAACAGAATTTTATGACAATACAAGTTGAAAGAAAAATGTTTAGATTTAAAAATGGATATGAATAGTAAGAACAAAAAAATTAAAAATTAAAAAGAAAGAAAAGGAAAAGGAAAAGAAAATACCAGAAGAATTTGCATTGTTTGGGGGTGAGCTGATCCTTCGTAAAGAAGCCCAACTGACATGAGTGCTGCAGTCTGAAAAATAAATGAAAAAGAAAGTTGAAAGTGAAAATCCAGATCTCACAGAATAGCCAAATAATCCAAACTACCAATTCTTCATAAGGTTGGTGAGCAGAACTGCTGCCAGAGTAACTACAGTTTACATTCAAGAACAGAAATAATACGAAATTAAAAATCCAAACTTCTTAAAAGTTTAAACAAATATGTGAATCCATACTGGTTATAGAAGGATGTAAATGTTAAAGAAGATGGAAATTTTGGTATTTTGATATTAGAAAAAAGAAAGAGTTGGCAATACATAAACAAAAAGATGCATGTAAATATATATATATATATATATATATAAGTGAATAGTATTACGCCAATCTATAGAAGAAAAAAAGATACCACAGAAGCATAAGATATGAAGCCGTTGTACACTATTGTATGAGTTATCACAGTGTATAGTATTGTATGAGTTGTCAAAAACGTACAGTTAATATTGTATGAGTTGTCTCCTACCCTCATTACCATATATAGAATTACTATGTATAGGGTTTACTTGTTCTCCACTCACCTACTCCCGTAGCTTCTCCTATATAAACACCATTGTATTATTGCATTACTCACTCAATAAGATATACGTTTTCATGTATTCTCTTTCTCTCTCCCTTTCATCATGGTATCAGAGTGGAAATAGATCCCTCTTTAATATTTTTTTTTTTTTTTTTTTTTTTAGTCTTATTCAAATTCCGATCTTGATTCAACTCGGCTTTTTCTCAGCAATCGCTTCTCGGCGATCTCTCCTCGGTGGTCTCAGTTCTCGTCTCGGCAATCTCTCTCGGATCCCTCCTCAACTTTCTCTCAGCAATCTCTTCTTGGCGATCACACCTCGGTGATCTCAGTTCTCATCTCAGCAATCTCTCTCAGATCCCTCCTCGGCTCTCTACTCGACAATTTCTCTCGGGTTCATCTCGGCTAGATCTTGGTTCTCTTATCTTGGTTCCCTCTCGCTACTATATCTCATTTGTTCGGCAGGTCTTGTGATGGATACTAAGGAATCCCATCTACTTGGGTCAATCACCAGCACCAAATTGAAAGGGTCAAACTACCTTCAATGGTCTTGAGCCGTAGGGGTGTTCTTGCGGGCTCGAGGAAAACTATCATATCTTAAATCAACCACACCCACTAGTGATGAGAAGATTATTGAGGCTTGGGAGAAAGAAGATGCTCAAATTATGACTTGGTTATAGAACAACTTAGAGCCTAAGATCTTCAACAACGTGCCATTCCTAGAATCTACCAAAGATATCTGGGAAAATCTCAAGGACTATTTCTCGAATTTATTAGGATATTTTTAATCTCCAGCAGAGAGATCGTTCTGTTGAAGATTATTACTCAGAATTGAAGGGCATGTGGGAAGAATTGAATGTCTACCAACCATACTACAAACATTAAACAACAAAAAGGGCACAGGGAGGAGTTTTGGGTGGCAAAATTTTTCTTTGAACTTAAACCCAAACTAGCTCCGATCAGTTCGCATATTCTGTTTGGCAAGGAGATACCCATAGCAAGTGAGACTTTTGCTCGAGTTCGAAGAGCATCTATTCATGCCCCCTATGATTGAGAAGGACAACCACTCTGCTCTTGTTCCTACTGAGCGACATGATACTTTCCGTGGAGGACGAGAGGGCAAAGGTCCTTCCAACCCAGGCCGTGGTACTTGCGGCGGCAGAGGGGGTCGCGGCAGCAAGAAGTGTACTCATTGTGGCTGAAACAATCACTATGTTGACTTCTGTTGGGCTCTTCATGGCAAGCCAGATTGGGCTAATCAAGCTTCAGTTTCGGAGGAGACTACTCCCACTCCTGTGAATGAACAAGTTGTTCTCTCCAAAGCCGAATATGATTCTCTGATAAAGCGTGAGCGTGTAAATCAGCCCTCCTCCACCGCAACTACCGTTACTTCAGGTAATACGTGTCTCTATGCTTCCTCTTCTACACCTTGGATCATGGATTCAGGGGCATCTGATCACATGACAGATAACCCATCTCTTCTTTTTTGATATTTCTCATGTTATCTCACCATCGGTTGTTACTATAGCAAATGGTGCCAAATCGCCTATTCATGGAATTGGTACCTTCCGCACTTCAGGTCTCACTTTTTCATCCATTTTATATATCCCTCAATTTTCATTCAATTTATTGTCAGTTCGCAAAATCATATCAGATTTAAATTTCTTAGTTATTTTTTCTCCTTCCCGTTGTGTCTTTCAGGATCTCAAGACGAAGTAGACGATATCTGGGGCGTTTGAGAAGGATGGTCTTTACTACTTCCAGCCAACTACTGCTCCGACAGCTCTACATTCCACCTCCTCTTCAGCTTACAAGTGGCATTGCCGCCTTGGACATCCCTCTTCAAATAGTCTTCGAGCCTTGATCCCTTCTTTAGTTGATTTTGGTAAGTTTAATTGTACTACTTTCGAACTCAGTAAACATCGTTGAGCTACTTTTAAGTCTCGTTTTAATAATAAAAGTTTAAAACCTTTTGAGTTAGTACATTCTAATGTTTGGGGACCAGCTCGTACTGCTTGTTTATTTGGTGGTCGTTATTTTGTGTCATTTATTGAAGTACACTGGTTTATATTCTTAAAGATAGATCTCAAGTATTCTCAGTTTTTCAATCCTTTTATGCTGAAATTCAAAATCAGTTTGATGCAAAATTACTTGTTCTTAGAACTGACAATGCCCTTGAATATACACTTCATGCTTTTCAAAAGTTTCTTGAGTTGAGGGGCATTATCCCTCAAACATCTTGTGTTAATACCCCTCAACAAAATGGAGTTGCTGAACGGAATAATGGCCCACTCCTAGCTATTACCCGTGCCTTAATTATTCAAATGCATGTTCCAAAACATTTTTGGGAAGATGCAATTATGGTTGTTGCTTATCTTTTAAACCACATGCCTTCTAGGATCCTTCAAGGAAAATCACCCTTCCAAAGGATGTTTCCTGACAAAAACCATTTTTGCATTCCTCCAAAGGTGTTTGGGTGTGTTTGTTTTGTTCATAATCTAAGCACGGGACGAGACAAACTTGATCCTCGTGCTCACAAATGTATTTTCTTAGGTTATTCTCGCACTCAAAAGGGATATAAATGTTACAGTCCAACTCTTCCTAAACAATTTGTGTGTGCAGATGTAACTTTCTTTGAGGATGTTCCTTATTATTCCAAGGAAGGCAGTCGTTTGGAGGACTCTATTCTCCAAGAGTCTGTTCTTCTAACTCCAGTTTTTGATTCTGACATCCCACCAGCTCTTCGTGTTTATGCTCGTAGTCGGAAAAGAGTAGTTAATCATGTTCCAACGACTGAAGTAGTAAACCCAGCCTTGCCACTTCCACCAGTTGCTTCAACGCCTGGAGATTCTTCCATCTCTCCGAACTCTGATCTTGATCAACCTATTGCTGTTCGGAAAGATAAACGATCTTGTATCAATCACCCTATCTCCAATTTTGTATTGTATAATAAATTGTGAACTTACTTGGTTAAAAACTCTTTTACAGGAACTTGGGATTTCAGTCCAATACCCAATTCATCTCCATTATGACAATCAGGCAGCTATTCATATTGCTAACAATCCATTCTACCATGAGGGGACTAAACACATTGAAGTAGATTGCCATTTTATTCGATCTAAAGTTGACTCGAATGAGATTGTTACACCTTTTACTCCTTCTAGTAGGCAGCTGGCAGACATCTTCACTAAGGCGTTTCCCAAGAAATCTATTGATTCCATATGTAGCAAGCTGGGAGTTATTGACATTTACTCTCCAGCTTGAGGGGTAATGTTGTACAGTACTGTATGAGTTGTCACGATATACAATATTGTATGAGTTGTCACACGTGTATAGTTAGTATTGTATGAGTTGTCGCCTACCCCTCATTACCATATATAGAATTACCACGTATAGGGTTTACTTGTTCTCCACTCACCTACTCCCGTAACTTTTCCTATATAAACACCAGTGTATTATTGTATTACTCACTCAATAAGATATACGTTTTCATATATTCTCTCTCTCTCTCGCTCTCTCTTTCATCAGAAGCAAATTTTAGGAGCAGAGACCAGCAGCAAAGGAATGAATACCTGAAGAAGGGTTGGTAACTCCAACTCTGGAAAGGAAGACGGATGTCGAGCTGGTATATGTACATAGAGAGCCTGCCAGAGAACAACATTAATAGTTCAACATGTTAGAAACAAATGTATGGCATAATAATGTACTGCAATAGAGTATTATAAGATCGACAAGACTTCAGGAATGAGCAACTGCTGACACTAATAAATTAATCTTAACAACAAAACAACAAAAAATTGGCATGAAACAATCTATACTAAGCCAACCAAGTGACAAAAAATCTAAAAAATAAGTTTGAGGCATGTTCAGAAATTAATTTCGCCAAGCTTCAATAGAAAGTTCGAAAAACAGCTAATTAACAAGGAAATGTACAAAAGCATAGAAAAGATACAACTAGAAAAAGTGTGCACAGGAGGGAAAGCATTAAAGACAAATTCATAAATAAAACTGACAGATTTTTGTTTTTGGAGGTGTGGGGAAGTTAGGAGAAATATACCCCAAGAACTAAAGACAACTAGCAAGCAATAATGCAGTGCCACCACAATCAGACATAAAACTGTTCCTTATCTAATAAGGCACCACCTAAACTTCGTAATACTTCCCCCACAGCCATTACCAAATTTAGAAGTTGATGCACGCTAGAGACCACAGACAAATTACTTTACACCGAAGAAATATTTGCAGCAAGACTACAGCAATAAAAACAATAATCCATGTTCTTCATAGGATTTTTTTCAACCAAAAAATTCATAGATACACCCTTTAAGAATTCCCATTTTTCAATAATAGTTTTGGGGGATGTCCGCATTGCTTGGCTTGATGAGGTCCACGCGGGTACTCAGATGTCTGGCCTGGACCAATTTGGGAGCAATTTTAGGGCTATAACTAAATCATCAGAGGGAATGTTTACATTGAAGGGTTCTTCGCAACGAATTTCCAAGGTAGAGCGTGTGAGAGGCGAGGCATCAGGCGATTCTTTCCGACTACTCCGTGCTATTAAGGTTCGTAGCCGGTCGATAGTCAAAAGATGGTCGCGATTTTAGAAACATAAATGGGTTGTAACTGGAGGTGGTGGTCCAGGTATGTCCTCTGTCTTGAATCTGGCGAATTCTTCTATCTCTACCCATGCTTCTTCTTCTTCTACTCCTCCTTCTGGGGTGGTGAGGATAGTGGGTGAGAGGGAGGGAAGGGGGAGACCACCGTTGGTTCAGAGGCTTGCGCTGGTACCTGAAGTGGATGGCAAAGGGAGTGGTTCAGATACTTCAGTCAGGGATGGAGGGTATGAACACTCAGTGGAAGAGAGGGGGTTGATCAAGCTAATGTCGAGTGATACAAAACAAGGGAGTGCTTTTTTTGTGTGGGGTGCAGGTGTATGTTGATTGCTGATGGAGGATCTGTAGACCATTTGCGACCAGAGTTCAGCGCTTGTAGTGAAAAGGAAGATCTAAGGGACAATGAGGTTGTTGCGGAGCATACTTATCCTTTAGGGGACATCGATGATAGGGGTGGAGAGAGTACGGTGGGATTCCATACTCCTTTGGCAGTGGTCAGAGACCCTCGGATTTGGATGGTTTAGAAGACAACTGGTTTATGAAGGCTATCGAGGAAGAAAGCAATCTTCTGGGACTGACTTGGGAAGGGCAAGATAAGCAAGTTAAGGAGTTGTTTCAAGCAGTGGAGGATGAATGGGTGAGGAAGAAGGAGAAGAGCTTGCCAGTTTTGTAAGGGGTGAGAGAGATGAAAGGCCTGTTTTCTAAAGTAAACTATGAGGGAAGGAGTGGAGTAGGGAGAGCGAAGAGGAGTGGGGGTAGGAGGGGGAGTGGAAGACTCGATGTTTGTTAATGAAGCTCAATATTGTGTCTTAGAACGTTCAGGGACTAAATGACGTGAGAAAGAGGAAGGTGGTGAAGGCAATAATTTGGAAATGGAGAGTGCATGTGGTTTGCTTGCCGGAGACCAAGCTAGATGTGGAGGAGGCCAAGGTTATGAAAAGTCTGCAGGAGGGAGATTTGTGGATTGGGAGGTTATTGATGTGGAGGGGACTGCTGGGGGCATTGCTGTTTTTTGGGATAGGAGATGGGTGTCGAAGGTCAATGCTTGGAAAGGGAGGCATTCATTATCATTACTATTTGAGTTTGAGGAAGATGGTTCGAAGTGGTGTTTTTTGGGTGTCTATGGGTCTGTAGGTGATGTGGAGCGTAGAGAGATGTGGGAGGAGATGCGTATCATTAGAAGCAGATGGGGGGTTCCGTGGTGTGTTGGGGAGGACTTTAATATTATTCTTAACACGAGTGAGAGATCTTTTAGGGGTGCGTGGGATGGAGCAATGGCTGATTTCTCTGATTTTGTGGAAGCTAACTATTTGTTGGATCTTCCCATAGTGGGAGGTGCATTCACATGGTCGAGTGGGCGTGATCCTCTATCTTTTTCTCAACTGGATAGATTTCTTATTTCAGTGGAGATGGAGGAGAAGTTTCCGGATGTGTCTCAAGTGGCGTGTGTGCGCTATTTTGCTTGATTGTGGAGGGATTAGGAGAGGAAGATCCCCATTTAGATTTGAAAATATGTGGCTACGAGTGGGTGATTTCAAAGAAAAGGTCATGAACTGTGGTGTGCTTATGATGTTTGGGGTAATCCAAGTTTTCAATTGGCATCTAAGTTGAGACGCTTAAAGGGAGACATCAAGGTCTGGAATAAGGAAGTGTTTGGCAAGCTGGAGTGGTGGAAAAATCAGCTCCATACGGAAATTTCAGAGTTGGATAGGAAGGAAGGTGCTAAGGGGATTTCCGTGTTGGAGAGGAGTATAAGGGAGGAGTGCAAGGCTGAGTTTGAAGAGACTGTAGTGATAGAGGAAGTTTCGTGGAGACAGAAGTCTAGAGCCTTGTGGCTTAAAGAAGGTGATCGGATTACTAAATTTTTTCACCGCTTAGCTAACGCTCATAAAAGAGGGAACATCATTGGGTGGATAAGTTTTGATGGTGTTATGGCTGAAACTGAAGAGGAAATCCGAACAAGTTTTGTGGCATATTACCAGGAGTTGTTCACAGAGTCCGTCTCTTGGAGGCCGCGGTTGGATGATATTGAGTATGATACAATTTCTAATGAGGATAGGGTGGGTTTGGAGAGGCCATTTGGGGAGGAGGAAGTGCTGGAAGCTCTAAGGAGCTGTGACGGAGATAAAGCTCTGGTCCGAACGGGTTTACAATTGCGTTTTTCCAACAGAATTGGGAGGTGGTGAGAGCGGATGTTATGAGAGTAACGCATGCCTTCTTTGAGGAAGGTTGTTTTGAGAAGAGTTTGAATGCCTCTTTCATTACCCTTATACCTATAAAGGGTGGAGCGGTTGAAGCAAAGGATTTCACACCAATTAGTTTGGTGGGCTCTGTTTATAAGATTATTGCAAAGATCCTGGCTATTATGCTAAGGAAAATTTTGGATGGGGTCATTTCGGAGTCACAAAATGAGTTCGTTGGAGGAAGGCAAATTCTTGACCTGATTTTTATTGCTAGTAAATGTATTGATGCAAGAGTTAAGAGTGGTGAGCCGAGGATTGTGTGTAAATTGGATATTGAGAAAGCCTACAACCATGTGAATTAGGTGTTCTTATTGTATTTGTTGGAGAGGATGGGGTTCGAAACCAAATGGAGAGGGTGGATTCATCAATGTATTTCAACGACTCATTTCTCTATCTCAGTGAATGGGTCACTAGCAGGTTGCTTCGCAAGTTCGAGAGGTTTACGTCAGGGGGAACCCATTGTCCCCTTTTCTCGTTATTATTCTAATGGAAGCCTTTAGCAGACTCATGAAAAGGGTAGAGTTACTAGGCTTTATCCAAGGTTTTTCGGTGGGGCGTGCGCCAAACCTTATTGTTACATCTCACTTGCTATTTGCTGACGATACTATTATTTTTTGCAATGCAAGTGTAACTCATTTGAGGCATTTGAGGTGTGTACTGGCTTGTTTTAAAGTTGTCTCAGGGCTGAAGATTAACATTGGCAAGAGTGTGATTGTTCCAGTGGGGGAGCTGGATCATATTCATGATTTGGCAGCTATTTTGGGGAGCAGAGTGGAGTCTTTTCCGTTTTCATATTTTGGGCTGCCCTTGGGTTCTTCTACGAGGAGAATTGCCATCTGGGATCCAAAGGTGGAATGTTTCCAAAAGAGGGTATCCGGGTGGAAGAAGCAATACTTGTCAAAAGGGGATAAACTCACATTGTTGAAAAGTACCCTCTCTAATCTTCCTACATATTTTACGTCTTTGTTTCCAATTCCTAGAATAGTGATCAGTAGACTTAACAAGATTCAGGGGAACTTTCCAGCTTTGTTTTTCTTTTTCTTTTTTCTTTTTTTTTATCATTCAATAATAAAGCGTTCAAAAGGGGAAAGCGTTCCTAACAAAACCATAAACACCTGGGTACCCTAAGGCCCAACGAAGCTAAAAACTCCACAGTCTCCTCAGCAGAAGAGCAGAATCAACTCGAACCCCAAAAACAGAGAGAGCTAATAACAGAAAATTTCGGAACACTGATGGAAGATTCCTCTCCTTCAAAGGATCTTCTATTCCGCTCCCTCCACAAACACCACCAAAGACACAAAGGCGCCATCCTCCAGGACCTCGAGCCTGTGCTCCCACCCAACCCCCTCTCTAGGTGTCCATCAAGCCTCTAGTAAATCTAGGCATGACCCAACAAACTCCAAATAAACCTAGCAAAAGGTTCCAACAATCAACCACCACTAGACAATGCAACAGAAGATGATCAACCAACTCGCCATTGCACTTACACATGCAACAGCAATTCACCAAGATAAGCTTTCTCCTTCTCAAATTATCCAACGTCAAAATTGTTAAGGAAATGGTTATGGAGATTTGGGTGTGAAAGGTCCGTGTTTTGGAGACGTGATATTGCTTGTCGGTTTAGGGAGGAGGAGGAAGGTAGGATGCTTAGAGGTGTGTCTTCATCAGCATGCATGGGTTCATGGAAAGACATTAGTTAGGGTTAGGATGAGTTCTCTAAGCGGATACGGTTTAGAGTTAGGAATGGTTGTCATGTGAGGTTTTGGAAGGATATATGGTGTAGGGATG